GTGGACCGTGACGGGCTGTACTGGTGCTAAGTTCAGTCTCCCGAGTGCTGAGCGTCAGTTAAAGCTCACATTCTTAAGCTGCAGGTGGTTATTAGCAGCTAACAAACCCGTCCCCGTGAAGCCGATTGCAGAGTTAGTGGCTGAGGAGGCTTCTCAGGCTGATTCTCGTGTGATTCAGGAAAATGCTCGGTCACAGAGGACGCGGAGCAAGACTCGTCGAATTGACGAAGAAGGAAAAAAGTCCTTCAATTCTGCTGAAGAGGCCTCAGGCGGAGATCCTGAAGATTACGAGGAATATTTAGAGCGAGGTTAATCACCTATCTTTTCCCTCTGTCTTCCAAAGTTATTAATCTTGACAACTGTTTGATGTTTCAGGGACAATAGCTGACAAGGAAGAAGAATTCCGTCCTTTTACTCAGGCGAGACCTTCGATTGTTGTCCCAGCTGCTAGGCGGAAGAGACTAGCCCACAAGCCGCGTGCAGATCCGCGAGCATCTGAGATGGATTTGGCTGGTGATGATCCCGCTAGTGACGGAGGTAACATCTACCCTATAGACTATCCTCTTGATCATTCAGAATTTCGGGCTCATTCTTTTCCATCTCTATATAGGAGAGCGTGGGGAAGGCGAGATGAGTCTCGATCCTGCTCCTCGTGATTTTATATTTTCTGATGAGCTTGACTTACCACACCAGGTAGAAAAGCCTGCAGAAGCTGTCGACGTTAGGGAGACTATCAATGTAGAACCCGATTCAGCGAATACATCTACCATTGACAATATACCCTTTAGATGGCAAACAAAGGAGTTGAACGATTCAGAATTCGTGCCTCCCTTAATTGTCTCTATGCTTCTTGCTCTTTTAGATAAATTGCAGGGGGCAAACATGGACCTTGGGAGTAGAGAGGCTAACACACCCGTAGGAGGTAACTCATTTCCATTGGTCGTAGTCTCTTTATTCTCCTTTCGCATTTATATTTTCTTGTATCAGATTTTTTGACTGATGATTTCGACGAGGGAGGTTTGCTTGTGGACACTCCTATGCTCCACTTCATATATGGCTCTCCTCAGACTGATGACCAATTGCCTGAGTCTACACTCCCCAAGAATCCCGAGGATGGTCCTTTTGAAGGTACGTGCCTCTTCTCAGGTTAATTATAGGACTAGCCATTTTTTGACTAATGCAGCTATAATGTGATGAATCTGAGAATTCCGTTTTGTGTTTGACAGAAGCTTTTGTCGAGACTGATCCTGTTGAGCCGGCTGTGAGACCAACTACATCAGCTGATACATCAACAGCGGCTACACCTCCACTACCCCCAGTGACTCAAGGGGAAGAAGGTATAAATTAAGCAACTGAGATATGTCATTTATTTCCTCATCAAGGCTTTTGACGAATTTCCCCCTTTTTGTGTAGGGTTTTCTTCTCGGCTTCATGTCCTCGCGAAGGAGTTGTTATCAGACAACGATCCTGAGAAGATCGTCATCT